TGCATTGTCTGCTTGTTCTAAATAATCCCTTTTAGTAGGATTAGTCACAGTATTAAATTAAGAGAAGGAGCAATTAATTATATTCTCATGAAATGAAGAAGAGAAGAATCTTTGAAATGTTCTCCCTTCCTCCTCGCCCCCTCTGTATGAAATCTAAGATTGCGTTATGTATTTTTCAGTTATGGAAAATCTTTCAGTCTTCAGTTTAAACAGAAGTGGTGGGAATGAGCAGCACATGGCACAAAATTAATTTGGATTGACTTCTAGTTACGCTAGGGGAACGTATGGCCAAAATGAAAAGGAATGCTTGATTTATAACAACTGCTAATCTATGAAGCAAGGCCTTGCTGCTGCAAAGAGCTGTCGGGGGTTTTGGACAAGCACCTGTGCTCACCCCAAACAAATATTTTTGTGCTTAGACTTCTTTTTTGCAATGGTTTGTTTGGATGTTTAAATAATTGAATGTGGTCCTATTTGCCCCCATCACCATGGCATGGTGTTGGTTAGTATGGTAATGATACAACGTTCATTAAAGCCCTTTTTGTAGTGAACTTAAGGGGGTTTTCTAGCTTTTGTTACAAGGGTTGCATAACAGCTAAAAAGCTCTCAATATTCTTCTGTGGAAAAAAGCATGAGGATGAACTTCTGGAAGAAACGATAGTAGGTAGACAGCTACAGAGGAGAGCAGTGTAATAATAAGGATGTATCACTAACTCTCTGATAAACTTGGAGAAAATGACCACAGATTACTAAGAGAGATTGCGAGGGCTGTGAGGGCAGAAAACACAATATTGAGAAACTGCAATTATCCATATGTATGTTGTGTAAATGATACACAGGGGCATGAAGCCTCTTGGAAAGATTAATCTGAGAACCCACAAAAGGGAAACAACTCTTTTTAGTCTGAAACGCTGCATCAGGCCCACATCAATAAGTAATTGTGCAAGAACGACATTCTCTCATTGAATTTAATGTGACTGTAATTGAACCTCCTGCTAGGAACAAAAATGCTTTAAAAAATCCACTGCATAAAAGTTTACTACCAAAAAGGAAGAAACTCTTAAGGAAAATTGAAAGGGAAAGCCAGAAGGGTAAAATGCTAGCAGACGAGCGTGGAAAGTGCTGAAAGACTCAATGTTGAATGCTTAGTGTGGGTGTAGGTGTATGGCACCTATAAAAAGGCCTGTTCAACAGATTCCTATGTAATTTATAATTACAAATGAAATGAAATGAATAGGCTAGTGATAAAGTTTGCTGGTGACATAGAGTTATTCAGGATTACTGACTGCAAAGAGTTGCAAAAAAAAGTCTCATGTGAAACTAATGACTGGGTGCAAAATTGCAGAAAAGTATTTGTGGATAAATGCTAGGTAACGTGCATAGAAAAAAATAAGTGTACAGGCACAGTGGTACCCTCTACTCTTGTTCAGGAAAGAGATGTTGAAGTCATTATCAGACTCATTTTCATTGCCCTGAAAAATATTAGCTCAGTGTTCAAACCTGGTCAAAAAAGTATTCAAATATTAAGAACAAAAATGAAAATCCAGAAGAATGGTAGAAGATAAATACCTGGTGCATCCATATCTTGAATACTACATGAAATTCAGGTTTTCTCCATCTCTGGAAGGATATAGATGAACTAGTAAAGGTCCTTATAATGATCAAAGGTGCAAACTGTTTATGTATGAGGATAGATTAATGGGCTAGGGCTCTTCACCTAAGAAAAAAGACTATCATCATAAAAGTATCATAAAAGAAGTGTATTCATCATACTGCTCCTGAGGGAGAGGGAGATAGCATCCTGGAAGCCACAAATGATATTACATTAGTGAACAGGGAGTAAATTTCTGCGGTTTCTTACAACAGGAGAACCACAGGGAAAGATTTAAAACAGAAGGGACCATTTCTCTAAAAAATATATAATGAAACTGCAGATTCCTTTGACATGTGAATTTGTGTAATCAGAAGTACAAGTGAGTACAAGAGAGTATCCATGGAGGACAAATCCATCACTGGCTATGGGATACAAGCTCCCGCCTGTGGCTGAGGAAGCTTTCAGGCTGCCCGCGGCAGGAGGTGAGGGGAGAGAGCATCACTGTTCTTCCCTTCTTTCCTTCCTTAACATCTGGTGCTGACTGCTGCCACAGCCCCGTGCTGGAGGGATGTTTGCTCTGACTCAGGATGAGTTTCCTCTGACCTAATATTGTTTTCACCACCTGCAAGCTTCTGTATTTATTGTAATTTAGAACAAAACTAATTTCATTTAAAGTACCAGTCATTATGACAAATGCACTTTCAAGCATCTGGACTCTTGTTTTATAGTGTTTGGATGGTGGGAAATCACCTTAAAATATGTTGAACAGCTGGTGAAATATTGTTCCAGGGGTGTAGCACTAAAGGACTCCAGGGAGATCTTATTGCGGTCTTTCAATGCTTAAAGGGGGCTTGTAAGAAAGATGGAGAGAGACTTTTTACCAGGGCCTGTAATGACAGGACAGGGGCAATGGTTTTAAACTGAAAGAGGGTAGATTTATATTAGATATTAGGAAGAAATTTTTTATGATGAGGGTGGTGAAACAATGGAACAGGTTGCCCAGAGAAGTTGTGGATGCCCCATCCCTGGAATTGTTCAAGGTCAGGTTGGACGGGGCTTTGACAACCCATTCTAGTGGAAGATGTCCCTGCCCATGGCAGGGACAGAGCAGAAAAATGAACAGTCCCCCATGGCAGGGAGGTTGGACTAGGCGATCTTTGAAGGACGCCTCCAGCCCAAACCATCCTATGATTCTATGAAATATCGGCCCCAGTGCCATCTACTCATCAGTATGAGCGGAGTTGCAGGAGAAGCAGATCTGAACCATTTCCACTGGAGGGCAGGGAAGCAGGCTTATGTCGCTGCTGGGCTGCAGTCAGGCCCTTGGTGAGTGTTTGTGCCTCGCTGCCAGCTAACATGAGCCACTCCATCTCTGAAACGGCACCTTTACTGCACAGTACAGATTGTTCAGTTTAAACACAGTTTCAACATACAAGGATTTTAATGTCAAAGAAAAGAAAGATTTTTTTTTTAATAAGCCACCTGCTTTAGGTGAATGCGGCTGCGTGATGATCTTGGGGCCTGACAGGTTTGGCTTTGATTAAAAACAATCATGTGCAATAATTCACATGATAATCTGTGATTTCAGGATAGTGCGATGTTGCCCTATGCAGATGCTCTGTTTCCTTGAGTTATGCATTTTTAAATTGAATACCTCACCCATAGCTTTTAAAAATATCTGACAGATTTATCTTGACAACACTAAAGTTTTGCTCAGTGTGAGATTTTATTAATACGCTGTAATTTCTTAAATGATACTTGATGCCTTTTTAATTAAAAAGGCCATCATGTTTCAATGTCAACGTCTCAACTAGTGCTAGAAGACGTGAGCTTTCGGAATTGATTTCTGTTCATCTCAAACAAGTGAGCTGAATAACTAAATGTTAAAAGACCCTATTTCTTCAAAGCTTGCCTTTTGATCCTCACATTGCCGCCAAGGCTCTGAATGCATCATTCATTGCAGGAAGAGTGTTTTCCTACTTCATCTGGATTGCATGCTGTTACTCTTTTAATTGTAAAGTGTCTCTTTTTCTGAGGCAAAATGGAGCTGATGGTGAATGGCTGCCCTGACAGACACAGAGAGGCTGCAGGTACAGAGCTTCTGCTAGCATTTTCTATACTTATGTTTCTAGAAAGAATAGAAAGCTTGCACCTTTTCTTTTCCTTGAAAGATCTGTTATTTTTCTGTGGAAACCAGCACCTCAACAGCTTAACCAAAAACTGGTTTATTATTGTAACCTGAAGTGGTAACTGCAGAAATATCTGCCCAAACTGGCACAGGCATTTTCACTGAGGAAAATATAAGGTTGGATAAATATCACTAATTCTATTGCTTTTTGGTTTCAGCATCTTTAATATGTGCCCTTTCCTTTCCAGCACTATTCCAGGATTGTTTCCTATTCTTATTTCTCACGTAACGTTCATTTGACGTAGCCGAAACTTTGCTCAAGTCCCTGCTGTGCACCAAGACCTGATCAACCTCGACGTCTGTTGTGAATTGCTCTAGAGCTGTGCAGTCTGAGAGCAGGAGCCAACCTGCAGAGCTGCCGTTCGGCAAATTTCTGCCAAAGCCTGGGACCGATTGCCTCTTTCGGGGCAAAAATTTTTATTGAAATGGGAGTCAAATTTAAACTCAGTTCTGACTCAAGCGAAGCTGTGCTGCTTGAGTTTCACCATCATAATGATGAGGCGTTCTCCACGTCACGCATGTTTGTGTGGTGTGGGGGGTTACCAAGCAAGAGTGGGATTATCTAATTGTTTGTTTTCATGATACGTGCTTGTTAATGGCAGAAGTAGACAAATGCTAGTTGACTAAGTGTCTTTCACCCATATGTTGATGATTTAAATGTATCCCAGGCTGATAGTGACTGTTCATTTTTTCTGCTCTGTAACTGAGGTCTGTCAATAAAGGAGGAGAAATGGGCAGGCAGTTTTAACCTAGTCCATTTTTAGTGGGTATCGTCAGCAGGATCACTAGCATGGCTGTTGCAAGGACCACGTATGGCCTCAATCTTTCAGAAGGGCTTCTTTCAGGCTGCAGATGAGCATTAGGTGAGGGTAAAAAGGGGCCAGGTCGCTTTGCCACTGACCTTGTGGTAGCCTTTCACTGAGAAAACAAGACTGTTGTGTTGTTTGTTGTCGATCTGAAAGATGTCACTTGTTTCAACGTTTCTAAATTCTGCTGTGTTTTTAAAATAAGTCAGTGTGTTATGAACTCTTTAGAGATAGTACAATGTTAGAGATGTTAGAGATAGTACAATAACATGTAGCACAATGGAAGATAAATGATGTATTCCTGTGGTGTAAACCACCGGCTGCCAGTGTGTCAGAGCCAGTCCCTGTCCTTATACTCTGTATTCATTAGTGCCTCCAGGGGTACTTATTCACTTTATCTGTTCTGTTCTAGTGATGCACCGTTTTTCAATGGAAGAGAGGTGCATGCGAGCAATAAAAGAAATGGCTCGCATCTTGAGAGTAGGAGGCCAGATAATGATATATGTATGGGCAATGGAGCAAAAAAGGAGAAGATTTGAAAAGCAAGATGTCTTTGTTCCTTAGAATCCTTCACCTCCTTCCTGCTCCTCCGGTGAGCCTTGCTCACGTGGAGTACAAAAATCAATTCTTCACAAGGACAAAGAGCTGGCTTTGAACCAGCCCTGTCATAAGTTGGATTGGACTTCAGAGGTACACAGGACAGCAAGGAGCTCATCCTGTGGAGGGGAGAAAAAAGCACCAGGCATGGTGTTAGAGAAATCTCTGAGACAGTCTCTGTTCTCAAGATCACTTGACTCAGTATTAGATGTGGGTGATCAGTGGCACCAAGAAGAGCTCATTAGATACTGCAATTACGGTGCTCAGCTGAATGAATCAAACAGGGAAAAAAAAGTTGAAAAAAACAGAGCGCGTGGCTTTCTGAAATGTGCTTCTGACTTCTTTCTACATTGCAAACCGAGTTTTGAAAATACAACAGCTTTTGAAGAGGCTGTTAAACCTATGCTGCCCATGTCACGCTGCTTGAAGGCTTTCAGAAGTTGCTGTTCAGAATTAGGGCAAGCAACTATATAGCTCCCTGTGACTGCAGATACTCTTCACGATTGCAGCGGAGTGTGTTTACCTGACCTGATTTCACATCAGAAAGAATTAGCTGTCAGACAATGACTTAAAATAGACCATCACCCAAATCAAGGAGTTTTCTGCCAACCTCAGAATAAAAGGAGAACAGGCTCTTCTTTCAGAAAGCAGTCAATGAGCGCGTCCTGACTACGCAGAGAAGACAGCAGACGGGTGCTGGTGGGGCATGGTTGAGGTACTACTGCGTTTTTAAAGAAGGGGAGTTGGCAGAGCTGATAGAGCGCCACATTCCTGAGCTACATATTACTCACTCATACTTTGACCATGCCAATTGGTCCGTGATAGCAGAGAAGACCGAAGTGTGGAAGATATAGGGGAAATTTCCTTATTGAAATGCGCAGAGAATACTTCAGGGCTTTCTTCCTTTTGAAAGCTCAGCGCCTTTGAAAATCTTTCCTGAAGCTTTTTATAGCCTTGGGTTTGTTTTGAGGGAGAGGGGGACATATGAGGAGGAGAGTGCTTTGAAACTCTCAGGTTCTGTGACTTTGTTTTCTTTGATTTTGTTCTTAAAATACATCTCTATTGAAAGTTTTTTTCTAGAGTTATTATTTCAGACTGAGCACATTTTTGCACACTGATCCCTTTTAATAAACAGCTCCCAGCTGTTTTGTTGCTTGAAAATAGATAAAATACAGTTGGAAGATGATTGCTGGATTATTTTTTACATGTGCATTAAAAGCCTTTGTTATTAATTTATTTCTATATAGTCGTTCATGTCAACTTTTTATTTTAAAATTTACTGTACTCTACCACTTGGTGTAACATAACATGGGAAGTAATTGAAAGATGCACTATTTTACTACAGTTCACTTTGTCAGCCTACATGATACTTCTAGTCATACAAGACAGACAGTCTTTTATGAGAATTACTAGGTGTATAGAGCCCTCGTGGCAGTGGCAGTAACTCATGGCATTGTCATAGTCTAGAGAGCTTTTTCATTGCCTTGTAGCAGTCACAGCCAAGAAGGCAAAAAGATATTTGCCTCCGCATATGCCACTACGTGACCCCCCAAAAATAGTTTTAAAAGTGAGCTTGAAATGTATGCTTAAGCCTGGATTGCTCTTTCTCCCTGTCAGCAAAACTAGGAGGAGTCAGGAGGATTTAATATCTCATTTAAATCTGTACACTGAATGAGCATAGCACAGAAAAGTGTTCCAGTGACCACTAGTGAACTGAGAAAATATTTATTAACATCAGCATGCAATACTAATGCTTTTATCTACAGATTCACCTTTTGCAAAGAAGACCAGATTCATTATCTGATTTTTATAGATAAAGAAACTGAGGTAATTAACTTTGCTTAAGGTTGCAATGTAGAGTAAATATTTGGAAGAAAACCAAACAAAAATCCCAAGCAACACGGCTGCTTTGCTGATGATTATTTATGTGCTAGGGAGGTCTGTCTGTAGTTTGACTTCCTGCCTTTGTTTCTGTGGATTTGTGAATCAGCAAGTCAGAGATCAAACTAGTCTTCTGAGAAAGAAGTCCCTGCATGTTCTTTACATGTCTGTCAGTAGCAGATGCGTATCGTGTTTTCAAACGTAGCATGGAACCGTGCAGTAATCTGAGTTTTTTAATGCAGCTTTAATTCAATTTGGATATAATATCTGTAATCACATTTCCTTTACTTCCTCCCATGGAGTTCACATCGGTGGTATCATAGTACATCTTGTATTTTCAGGTGGAAAAGCTAGAGGGGCTAATCAGTCTCCTCCATCTGTAATGACTGCCTCTGCAGTGCTCTTTTTTCCCTAAATGTTAGTATCATTGTGCAAGTGAAGAAAATAATTTTCAGCCACAAAATTGTTGCTGCCAGTCAGCTGCAGTGATGACACTGTTCCCTTCATTTTGTACTTTTTTCCATTGCCAGAAGGACTTGACAGCATCTCCCTATTTTTCAGTGCAGCTTCAGGCTGCACTAAAGGCTTCAGTTGGAGCTCTGAGCCTCTCCATCATGTCTGCTCCTATGGTTCAACAGGCTGTTAACCCACACAACGCACCAGAAAAATGCCTTTGATGGTAGCTGCCAGTCCTTGCCCTCAAGCACACCTGATGTTTAGTTTTTCTGGAAACTAACACGGGTATTTTCACTGAACCTGACTGGTCCTCTCGGAAGGGTTTAGCCTGCTCCAGCATTCCCTGAAGGAAAAGGTGCTCATCATCTCCAGCTCTTCCCTAGGGTGCGATGAGTCACCACTAGATTTCTCCTAAAGCTGACACCCCTGGTCTGCCTGCTCCGGGTCAGGTGTTTCCAAACAAGATCCATGTCACAGGGACAGTACTAGCCTTACTGGAAGGAATTTTAATCTCTGGACAACTGTCAGCAGCTCTAAAAGCAACCCTCCCCTTCAACAAGGAGTTAATGTCCTTGTTTGGAACGAAACAAATTGCAAAGGCCCACTTCTTGTGTAGCGAAGTGCTGCCTAAGGCATGGGTTAGACCTGCTTCCACGCACAATGGTTTCCACTCATGATGGTTTCCCTGGAGGGCGCTGGGTGCTTCCTGGGATCAGAGCAAATTCAGCTGAAATGAAGCTGCCACAGGTCGAGGCCCTGACTATGCAGGGAAAGAAAGTAAAAACATGGATTTGGTTGGAAGCATCATGTATTAATACTCCCTCATATTTATGCATGTCACAAATGTTATAAAACCATACGTTCTATTTGAAATGCCAGGAGCAAAACCAGGACTGAGTTCATTCCTTCATTTCTATATCACAGTCTGCATTTGTAGTTGTCAGAGTAGGCGCTACCTTGCGCCAAGGGATATAGCAGGAAAATGCTCTGCACTCCTGAGCCATGCTTGGTCCTAATTTGTTTTCCTCTTGTGCTCTCTGCTTTTCTGAGCTGGATTTTCAAATAGAAAGATACAATTTTTCTGGCCTCCTTTAGGCATTTAGAATGCAAATCTGTAAGTCTAGCTTTGTGCTTCATATTGCCAGTGGAGTCAATGGCAAGAAATAGCCCCTTTAGAGGACAAATAATGAAATGCACCTTGAGCAACTGTTTGGATTCGAGGGCTCATGTTCTGCACCTGCTCATCTCTTTCCGTGGCTTGTGGAAGTGCATAGGAATCATTTAAGTTCTGAGGATGGAAAAGAGGAGCAAGAACAAAAGCAAAATCAGACAGACTCTTCCCCCACCCCGCCTTTTGGCCAAACAGTGCTGCCTACATATCCCTGTTTTGTAGGAACCATGCGCAAAAATTCATTGTTAAGCTGGAAAAAAAGAAAAGACAAAAAGCAGCAGCCTAGCTCAGCTCTTCTTTACAGCATCTGCCACTCTGAATTTATGGTCATTTGAGGCCTCACCTGTCCAAGGGAGACTTTCAGAAAAGCTTCCAATGTCTGACACTATGTCTGATCTACTAATGATGATCACCTTTACAGTTACTAATATTAATAAAGCCAATGTCTTCCCACTTTTTCTGATTTGCAGGTCCCTAAAAATTCCCCAGTGTCAGAGATTTCTCAATTTTCTCCACAGACAGTTGGTTTGCTGTTCCTAATTTCTTTCATTGACCCCTTGGAAGTTGTCCATAGCGATCCTAGGATCCACGAGCACAGCCTGGGGTCCTCTGTTCAGTGCTTGCCACATTAAGCCCTGTCACATCGAGTCCCACGCAGCCCACGTGAAGTTGGCACGGTAGCTGCAGCCAGTGCTGCTCACATCACTAGAGCTAAGACACTGTGAGCATGTCAGTGTCTATCCTCCTTCGGCATAAACAGGTTTGATGAGTGTGAGTCTATCATAAAAGATTTTTGCCCACTGGGTAAATGTATTTCTTCTAATTGTCTGCTAATTGGCAAACAGCTAGTCCCACTTATTATCAAAATTCTTTCTCCAGAGAAAACTCAGCCTATAAAGTTTTTATAAAACTCAGTTCTATAAATCCTTTTCCCTCATCCCTTTTAATTTTAAAAATTGTTCCAAGTATCATTTGGTAGCTATCACCTAAGGAGGTCTTCTGTTTGAGTTAATCAGCTCCTGCAAGGTTATCTGTGATCTGTTTGAAAGTGCCTTAGCCAGCATCTTGCTTTCTGTCTTAATTAGTAATTACTGGCCTAAAATTGTCACTTACCATAGGCATTTGTACTGACCTCTCAAATTAAGATCCCCCATGAAATTAAAAGTGGAAGAAGCCTATTGGGTCACTTATTCTATCCTCCAAAGTGCATTTATTATTCATGGTGTGTGGCAGGGAACACAAGTGTAGGGTATGATTGAGAACACTGCAGTTAACTCATCTTTGAAATGTAAATACTATTAATGAGTATACCTGTCTTCCCCCAGGATCTGTCCTTGTTTGCTTTGTCATTCTGACTTCTTTCTTTCTTCTCTTTGATGGGGCTCCTGATTTACTTTCCTTCCTTCTCACTCAAGACTGAAAACAACATTTTGCAGAAGGATTCCAAGTGGTAAAAAGCACAGAAAATATTCCATGGATTCCTCAAAACGTGTGCTTTACGAGCTTGCCTTTCAGATCTCATTGTGCCCAGGACTGCGCTAAGTGTCACCTTCATAATTTGGCACAACAAATCATTTCACATGAACATGCTACAGCAAGTTTAAAAAAGAACACCAGCTTGCTTGCAGTGAAAGCCCACATTGGCAACATTTAGCTATAGTGAAACTGTGCCATTCACTGGCTGTCACAGACTTCCAACTAAAAGCATCACATTTAATACAGCAAAGTAAATTGTCCTAGGCAAAAACAAGAAAAAACATTTGTAGAAACACTGGGTCAGCCAAGAGAGGGAGCAGGATAGTAGGTCTCCATCTCTCGGTCTTCAGTTGCCCCATACACGAACTCTGCTCTTTATAACTGTATACAGAGGCTTGAAAAGAGGTTAAAAAAACCCCAAGAAAGGTATTTTAACAGTAAGCCAGGCCAGAATTGCTATAGAGTCTTTGTGGGAACGTGAACAGAAAAGGCACCTTCCACAAAACCAGTCTGGGTAGTAAAGTGCAAGCTT